ATAAATTACACAGCTTGTCGATCTCAGTTGGACATGATGTGTATACTAAAGAGTGCGTGTCTGCCTTACTGTAAGGATGAAAAAGGAAGATTGTTTAATCTTCCTTCCAGACCTACCTTGCTTGAAGTTGCTTCTTGGAAATTTTTTAAAATGTCTAGCTTATTGTAGAACATAATTGGATTTTCAAGGGAGATAATGTGGTTTGTTGAAGTATCTGAAAGAATTTTACTTTTTAAAAATTATTAATTAATTAATTTTGTTTTATGAGACAGGGTCTCACTATGTAGCCCTGGCTAACCTTGAACTCAGAGATCTTCTAACTCTGCCTCTGAGTGCTGGTATTAAAGGCCTGCATCATCACACTTGGTTCCTAAAATAATTGTAGGCTTAGATAAAACATGATTAGAATATATATTTTTCACATCACATCCTCCACATATCAGTACTGACATACATAAATAAACAACATAGAAGGACTTCCACCGTTTCTCATTTAAAATCTTGGTAGTTTTAAAATCTTCGTTTTCTTAATACTTCACTCAAAAAGCAGTGAGTAGTGCTTGTCCTGTAAGACAATTCCCCCAAGTAGAAACATTTGAACCTTTTATTTGTCATTCAAAATGCTTATTGAGTACCTACTCCATACCAAGCACTGTGGGTTTGTTGTCGAATAGTTAGAGCATAGTGCAGGCATGGAATAACCAATTCAAATATACAGCAAAAGATACAGAACTTCACTGGGCACAAAGGAATGTGGAGCATAGAACCTCAGTGGGGATTATATGATTTTATTTTATATGACTTCAAAAATCAGCTTTCCAAAATGATGGTAAGAAATAAACAGTTTAAGTGAGAAACAGGAATGACAACTTATAATCATGAATTACCTATAAAAGGCCACATGGGATAATTACTAGATTATGAATGATTACAAATATAAAACATGTGGCAAGTATGCAGGGGCAAGTTTCATCGTATTTTGTACTTATATGTATTGCTACAGCATGTAATGTGAAGTCATTTCAATGTTTAAGTGGCCAAACTTTTTATTTATTTGTTGGATTTGTTTTTGGTCTTTTTGAGACAGGGTCTCCTTGCAGCACAGGTTAGCTTGGAACGTACTATGTCGACCAGGCTGGCCTGATCTCACAGAGATCTGCCTGTCTCTGCCTCCCAAGTGCTGGCATTAAAAGTGTGCACCACCACACTTGGCAGCTAAATAATATTGATTTATTTTGTTTTTTTGAGTCAGGGTCTCCATGTAGCCCCAGCTAGCCTGGAATTCTCTATGTAGACTGATCTGACCTTGATCTCACAGAGATCTTCCTGCTTCTGCCTCCCAAGTGCTGGGATTAAAGGAGTGTACTACCAAGCCTGGCCAGCAAAATATTTTTAAAGAAACACCAATACGAATTATTCTGTAAGGCTTTTCAAAATTCAGGGCTTTTGCAAATCAAAGAGATAATTTAAATTCTGCAACATTGGCTTTTAATTCAAGCTAGTTTTAAAGCAGTATAGAAAAGTATTCATAATTATGTCAACACATAGGAATCATGATAATCAAACTCATTGTATGCAGGCTTGTAGCTAATCAGACTACAATGGCCATTTTATATGAGGGGACAATGGGAGCCCGTTTTTTTGCTAGTTTGACTTTCACATTTTCTACCTGAAAAATTGTTTAGGTTAAAAATTTCCAAACATCTAATGTATTCTTACTACACAGTGTACATGTACTAAGTATATGTGGCTCAACTCTTTCAGAATAAAACAAGTGATCTTTGAATTTTTTATCCTTCTGGTCTATATCTAAAACAAAACATTAAACAAATAACACAATTATAAAGATTTGGAATAAAACTTGTCCATAGAGAGTTCAAAAAGCAAATTACATAAAATTATATACAGCAAAAGCAGAAGAATTACAAATAGTTGGCAAGTGTAAATTTATGAAAACTTAATTATGGCTTACCATTCTTCATGTTTATCATATTCTATTTTTCACAAATGCAACAATAAATGTTTTTTGTTAGAAGCAACTAATGTGGTAATTATGGATTTTCTTCAACCCAGGCGACAGGAGAACCTTTTCAAGGAACAGAAAATTGCTACTTGAGAGTTATTTAAACTTTAAGATCTATAAGAAGAAATTTAAAAAGTGCTAATTAGGTACTTGTTAACATTTTCTATAGAATTTCCTTTTAGTGAGAGGTGAATCGCATGCCTCTATAGCAGGTAATGAACACCTCTCTGAAATTGGGATTGAAAGCTCTATTTTTTTAAGGTTGGTTTAAGGGAAATCAAAGAACATCCTTAGGCAACTTTTCGGAAAAAATAAACGTATAAATGTAAAGAACTTGGTACCTATGCAACAATGGAACTTTAATGACATGTGGAAAAAAAAATCTGAAGTATGAGAAAAAATTTGTTGGCAAAGATTTTTATACCTCAGCATGTTTTTATGTAGTTTGCTTTGTAATTTAATAGTTTTGTGATGGGAGTAGGTGTCTATATTTCAAGTGATCCCCCCTTTTAAAGGTTCTGCTTTGCTTAACTATTCTTGAAGGTACAGAAACGTGCTTCCTCCAGTTTCTATTCTGATAGGAGGACTTATTCATCTCTGGCTCCTTAGATTGGCTGAAAAGATTGTTTCATTTACTGTGTTTGGCAGTTATGTTTTATATGTACCCCCATGATGAGGCTAAGGTAGCCACATATTTTCAGGTGATTCATGCTCCACACTGTCTCCAGGAGCCCCTCTTCCTATTCATGGACTATGTTTTATTTTCCTAAATGTTGCAATTCAAGAATGACCTCTTGCTTAAATTGACCCCTGTAGTTACTGTTTGCTCCAGATAAAGGAATTAGAAGATAATTCAAGGATTCTCCCCATAGAATAAGATGCTCAACGTTTTGTACAATTTAGGCCTTTCAAGGGGGTGGGCTTGTGGGATTTAGGAACAGTCTGTCGTTCTTCACCCATCAGCTCAGGGAACTATGTCCTTCAGCTGTGGCTACTAGATGGAAAAAAAATGAAACAAGACCCAAACCCTTAGATTTAATGATATATTCTGATATAAACCCAAGCTGAGTAGAGAACTTTTTCTAAAAGAGGCATAAACAGCAATTCATCTTTTTTCCTGACATATGACTGGCAAAGGGGAAGATCCTGTAAGATCTGAGGAGTCTTATAAAATATGCTTTGTGTGTCATGAACACAGCCTGCAAGTTACTTTCCATCGATTTCAAAGTTCAAAGGTTCCATTATAATTTCACATTTACATTGGCACAATTTATAGGAGGAAGAACAACAGGGCATCATTTTTATGTTTACCCCCCCCCCAAACTTATAAATGTTTTAGGTAAAACTATTGTTGACTTACTGTAATTTCAAATTTAAAAATGACTCAGGAAGTCACACTATTTTACAATAATCATTCCTGGTTCCTATGACACTTTATTAATTTTTAATAAGGATGAGCACATAATTCCAGAATTCAAATAATTCATTTTCATCTTGGGAGACAAGAGAATGCAGGTAATAGAGCAATAAACTATCATTATGTTTTTGATTCTCTTATGAATTAAGTTTTGATAGCTTTCATTTCCAACACAAACAAGTTACAGTAGTATGTACATAAAATTTTGTATTTTAAGGTCATTAATGCTGTCAGATTTGTAAGTATAGCAGAAAAAAAACAATGCAGAAATTAGTACAGAATGTACACCTTGATAAAATTGGAGGCTTAAATGAAGACCATCATAGTATCAAATACCAAGTCTTAACATTACAATTCATTAATCCATTATAATTCATTAGACAAATGTCTCGAGGAGAGGGCAGAATGTGCAATGAATGTTTTCTGGAAATGAATTGCTAAAAATTAGTAGAGTCTGAAAGGCTTCCACCCTGGAAGCCCCAGCTGGGTTTCAAAGGGTGGGGGAGGGCTTTCCCTCACTGTTAAAGTATTTGAAACACCACTTCAAAAAATAAAACCACGAACGTCGATCAGTCCTTCCGGCAGGCATCAGGCTGACTCTGATGTATTTTTTCCCCCTTTGCAAAGATGAGATTTAAAAACATGCACACAGGACATTTTACATTGATTTAGACCAGTTGGCGAAAACACGGTTCAGAACAGGATTGCAAATTGTTCCATTAAATACAATAACATTTGCAGTCATGGCACCGTTCCACAATAATTTTAAAAGATTTCATTTTTTACTTATCATTGCAAGCCATTATCTGATCATATTTGACCCACATATTAATGTTTTTATTGCCATTCAGCCCCTCTTCGGTCTGCACAAATTGTCAGCACTCTTCACGGGGATATTATTTATTTATCTGGAAATATCTGGAATTCTTTCACTCTGTCTTTTCCTCAGGGACTCTGTCCCTCCCTGTAAAGTATTGATACTAATATCTGGGGGCGGGGAACACATCCAACACAACCGAGAGATGGAAAGAGATCCCCTTCAATGGTGTACCATAGGAGAAGTAGAAAAACAAAGGGGAAATAACAGAAAATGATAATTGTTTTCTCTAAGGCTATTATCTAATGCGAAAGCAAATAGTCAGTCTGGAAATCAGCTAACAGAAGGGGATTAGAGAGATCTGAGTGTGGTTTGGTTTCTAGCTGGCTGTCTCTGCAGCCAGTGATGAGACACAGGCAGGCGCGCTCCAGATGGCGGGGGAAAGTGGTCTTCTTGGGTTACTGCAGGGCACTGAGGCCGCAGAGCATCGCGGGCCCGGGAAGGCATCCTCAGGGAGCCTGCCCCACGTCCAGCCTGGACCACAGAGGGTGAGGCCAGGAACCAGGCCTCCCGCCCGCCCGCACCCCAGCGAGCCGGGCCTGCCCATTGTTAACATATACTTGACCTCCGTGACCCCCGCACGACACAGATGCCTCCCCCCTCCCCCGCCCCCCCGCAGCCCCGCCGCTGGCCCTCCCCCCTGCACCTGGTCGCGGCCGCGCCGCCGCCTCCCTCCCGAGCGGCCGCGGCGCCCCCGGGTGCGGGCGCTGTGCACAGCGCGCGGCGCTCCTGCTCCCCGGCGGACGCCCGGCCGCCCTGCAGATAAATGCAGTCGCCTTCCTCGAGAGTGAGCGAGGGCGGGCGAGGCAGACGCAGACGCCGCCTGTGACAGTGGCAATCCCCTGCGCCCCACATCGCATTTGTCTGCCACAGCAGCCAGCGCAGAGCAGCGGAGGGAGGGAGCAAGGCGGGAGGAGGGGAGCGGAGCTCCGCCAGCATCGCGCTCCGCGTCGCCGGCTGCGTCCGCTGGCGTCCCCGACCCCCGGCTCCCCGCTCCGCAGCTCGCTGTGCGCAGCGCCCGGAGCATCCCCGGCCGCTCGGAGGCGCGACTCTGCGGCCTCGGGGCCAGCGCGCGTGGGCGGGTGGCCGCGGAAACTCTGGCCTCGCGAGGGAAGCCACGCCGCGCCCCTGTCCTCCGGCCCGGCGGGCCACCCCGGACGACGGGAAGTTTTATTTGCAGCTCGGAGCTGGTGGCGGATGGTGGGACTCTCCGGCCCTGTGCAGTGTAAGTGCCCGCGGGCGAGCTGGGTCGGCGGGCGGGTGGCGGGGACCGGCCGCGGGCTGGTGCGGTTAATTACTATTCCGATGACCGTCATCTGCGTTTGGATTAATTCCACCGAGAGGCTCTGGGCTGAACTTGTCACTCTGCTAGAGTACATTCACACAGCAAGGCAAAGAGGAACATCGCGGCGCCCGGAGTCTGCGATGTCACTGAACTTCGCCGGCCAGGCAAAGACGCATTTTCCCCCTCTTTACATTAGTGTCCCCGCACTCTTTAAAAAAAAAATACTTAAAAAAATTTTTTTTAATCTTCACTGTATGTGAACAGGAAGATGAGTGCCTCTCCTTCGACTAAGCCACGGGTCAAGGTGCCCACGGTGCGTCGGGCAGGTGCCCCCACACTCGCATAGTGGGTTTTTGAACTGGAAGCTAAAGGCTCATTTTGATGGTGGATACTTAGCCCTAGGAGCAAGACAAGGAATCTTGACTTGGGACTGGGCTGCCACCTGGGTGGGGGCCCGCTTAGCCGCACCCCAGCGCTCTGCGCTAGCCACGAACTTTCCCTTTTACTCCTGGAACTCTGGGGTGCTCGAAAGAGAAACCCGCACCAGGACGCGCAGGCGACGGCTCAGAGAGCCAAGTCCCCGGCTCTTCAGGGGGGCCAGGTCGAGGCTCAGCAGCCTGGGACACCGGAGCAGCATTGCCTCTATGGGTCCTCAGTGCGCCCCGAGCCTGGCAGGCCCGGCCCTCCAGGGTGTCCCCATCTCAGCCGCTACTCGGTGATGCCCGCCTCTTCAGAGCCGAGAACAGAACCGCAGCCCTGTAGCTCCAGCCCGGCTGAATCCATGCTCTAGTCGAAGTGGGAGAATTTCTTTCGTTTTCCGGAAATCCGTTTTTTCGGGGAAAGCTCCCGGGGCTAGTGGAGACCAGCCCCGCGCCTCGCTGCCTCTCACCCTCTGGGCGAACCTGGCAGGTCAGGGTTATTTGGCACGCTCAGACCCTCTCCTGGGGCGGAGGATGGGCTGACCAGGATGCTTTAAGCAAATACGGTTATGGCAGCATAAGGCAGTTAAGTCCAGTTTTTGAAACTATTCTCTCTTTCTTTTTTAGTAAGGGCGGTCAAACCTTGGAAAAGTTTGAGTGTTATGATTCCGGGCAGTAGGATGTGAACGACTGTTACTAAAAATAGCTGCCTTCCCTCCTCCTCTCCTCAAAGGCCTTTACAGCTTGGAAGATTTGGCCATAGCGTCTTGCCCTTGCAAAGGGTAGTGGAGTTATCTTTGATTTTAGCTTTCCTACAGGATTGGACACCACAAATCCCAGCGTGCCCCAGCGTGTCCCAGCGTGGCTGCTACTTCCTGGGAAAAAGCGCAGAAGGGAGTTTTAAGGAATTAACTAGTATTCCCAGGGATGAGGCACTGCAGAACAACCAGAGATCAGGGCCTGGGAGGGAACCCAGGAAAGCTGGAGAGGTCACACCATACAAACTTCGTGTGCTTAATGTAACTCTGAACACTTTTGAATTTTTAACTTCGCTTTCCTTAATTAATCTGCCCAGGGCCTGTATATAAATGGCTGTCCACAGCTGCTGCAAATTGATTTATCTCCTGATAAAGGTCGGGTTGCTGACCAATGCATTCTTCATACCTTCTGTGTGAACTGAAATGTGTTTTACAGGATTTTTTCCCCTCCTAGTCTCCTTTTAAACATCTGTAGCATTTTTAAGTGCACTCAGTGGCTTTTATTATCACCCCCCCCCACTTTGCACAGAACAGAAGTAGAACTGGGTCTGTGCCCAGGGAGCCCACACTCCCCAGAATACAAATCGACCAGCTCCTCTGTGATGAACGGTTTGTTAGTGTTGGGGGCCTCCTTCTAGTTCATTGCAATAGTGTGCCTTGACCACACAAGTATTCTGCTACGTCCAGCTTCTTTGGTCACACAGTTCCTTAGAAAGGATCAGCACACACCATTGTTTCTTAAACCATCACAGCCTCAATTTCAGTGTTTATGTCAGTTGTGATGTGTCTAAACAGTAGCAAATAACAAGTTCTATGTACTTCCCCTTATTTATCTCTAATGTGCTGTCTAGTTTTAGCCTTATGGTGACTGGGAGAGAACAGAAGATATGGTTGTATGATTTCATTTTTTTATTACTGCTTTTCAGAAAGGTCTAAGAGGCTCACCCAATGTTAATTAGAATATTAGTTTGATCCAGGTCGTTTTATCTTACAGCCAGAATGGATGTTAAGAAAGTTAAAATCTGTTCTTCATCATGTTATATTCAGTATTTGATATTTCATTAATTTGTTCTTTGGAAAGACAGAATTCCAAAAAAATAATGAAGAAACCAGGTTCATTCTGGGCAGACAGAAACTGAATTTTAGCTAAGCTCATGCTAAGAGAAGAACTTCCCATTAAATATCTTTGTTCAACCATTAATTACCAACCATGTAGACAGCAGCCACTTTGTTCGAAAAACTAGGTACAGTGTGGGAGAATTTCAGTATGTAATTTTGCTGGTGTCCAATTCCTACCTAAAAAAAGCAACAGAAAAAGTATCTTTTTTTCCTCTAATATTTGGATAACCCAAAGCACGCCAGAATGATATTTTTCTTTTGTTGACTAAGCCTCTTTCACCCATGAGTACCTGCTAACGATTTGATTTTAAAATAATCTTTAAAAGGACTTTCCTAATAAGAAGTGTTCTGCCTTCAGTATAGTGTAAGCTGCACTATTAAATTGCAAGTTTCTTGAAATAGTTGGACAGCAGCCTTTCATTGTAGACTGCTACTTTGTAAATACTTTCCTGATTTTGTTCTGGAAGAGGAAAACCTAGCTCTTAGTGATGGTGATGAGCTTTCCCATCGAGGTGTTAGTCTCAGTATTTTCGGATCAAAGAACACTTTATAAATTGCAAAGACATTCACAAATGTTAGGTGCCATTATAGTTTATATAATTGTAAAATAGAAGCTGAGCTAACCGCTTTACTTTAAAAAAAATTGAAAAGGGATCACGAGAAAGAAATGCTTCCAATAGGAATGCTGGTCAGTGCTTGTCAGTTTAGGACATTCTTCACTGTCAAATCCTGTTTCTCACTTCTTTGATATGAACATCAGCTGACAGGCACTGAATGCAAAGCCTTCTTCATTGAGGTTTTATGCAGGCAACTTAGCCCTTCATAGCAAAGCAGTCTGAAAAATTGGCACCTGCAAGATTTGCATGTGAAAAAAACCAAGTCAGTTGCATTTTGCTGGAGTCTATTACTGTAAGTTATGTAAGTTCAGTGAAAAAGGCTATTTGTTGCTCTTTGGGCATTTAAAGTTTCTTTATTTTACAGATACCTCATTCATCATATAGTGATCTGTGGAATTTATTGATACCAAAGGCAGGGAAAAGTGAGCTCTAGCTTCACAGAAGTTACCATGGAATGGAGGTGTTTTAACCATGAGCCTGGAGAAGACATTTAGATTCAGTTAAAATTTTAAAATATGCCTTGAAAGAATGGGCTCATTCACCTGTGAGAATAATCCATCAGAAGTTAAGCAAATGCCTAATATTTGGTTAATAGACGTATCAGTTGGATTAAAGGCAATAGACTTTAATAAGAACTCACAGTCATAAGAAAATAAACATTTCATATTTCTAAACTTCAGGGAAAAAATGTTCTCTGCCATAATTTTACTTACACTGTTCATCACCTGTATGTTCTTTATGAAATTATATTTGACTCTCTTTATGTAAAACTACAAACAAATGTTTTAAATCAACTGTAAAAACCTTTGTAAACCTCAGACCATTATCCACCAAAGGGGACATTTTACCCAGAGTAAGCTACTTCTTAATATCTAAAGAGACACCTTCCAACTTCACTTTTTTACAGCCATTAATATAAGAGTTCCTAAATAATGTTTAAAGAACAGTGAACATTTTATTAAGGCAAACATTAGTTCAGTTTAATGGAGGTAATTGTAAGTGATAAGGCAAAGCAGGTTATCTCTGTGTTGTTTAAACAGAAGGAGCTGCTTTGCACCATTTCCAGTAGCCATCTGTAGAAGAGAAGGCTTCGCACCTGTCTGTCCACACTAATTATAGATTAGGGCCAAAGAAATGAAATTTGAGGACGTTTTCAGCTAATGAAATCCATACTGATTTTATTGTAAATGTGTTTTATGTAAAGAGGGTGATGGTTGAGTTGTGAGTGAATAAATTTCCACATACCTGCTAGGCACTTGGTTTTGAAGCAGAACTCTGCTGCATTAAAAAATGAAAACTCTTATTTATTAAGAAAATAAAGAAGACAACTTGGATATGGATGACAGTGGCTTTTATTTGGCACCCATGGTTATAAGTCAGCAGCAGCGAGGTTCAGCATTTTAGAAATGTGCTGTAGAGCAGCTTAAACCTTAGGAATATTTTCATATTCTGAAGTGCAGATGAAGGTAGTTTCTGTGTTAACTTATGCATAGAAAGGACTAAAACAAATTAGAAAGCCTTTTTCTTTTTTTTTTCCCTGCATTTTTTAGCTTCACATCCAGGAGAAATTAAAACAAAAAAAGGGAGGAATGCATCCTTCAATAAAAGGTCACATGGATGTCTACCACATCTGTTTATAGTAATTATGAACATAATTAACATAAGAATTACAAATGAAATAATGACAAGCTGAGCAGTGAGATATTATACCATAATGGTCATATGTTGGAATTCTCACATTATAACACAGTACACTTCACATACTCAAAAGAAGGAAAGAAAATGCTAGATTTTTATCTGAATTAATGTTTCAAAACTTATCTGCCTGGGGCAGGTGGACTTCCTTCTATAGGATGGTAACCTATTATAAAGAAAAGAACTCATGGATACTAAGAGTTTTATCTTCTAGCCTGGTCTTTAAGACAGCTGCGGTCACAATTACCATTTGCTGATAGATACTTTTTCCTGGTAATCCTTCTTGATTGTTCTATTGCTTTTGAGTTTTGTTATGATCTTATTAATTAATT